GTATTAATTAAAACCATCGTCCCTCTGAACAGTGTGGGTTCCACTCAGTCCCACCTGTTGCCTGTTTTGGGGGTGCCCTGTGCTTTTCTAAAGAAAGCGCATGTCACGTCAAGGACCCCGCACCCGCCAGCTGCAAGACCATCGCTGGGACATTCACATTGACTCCTGGGTCTCCCCACAAACACGCCCTCCCTGCTGCTCATGGCTCTGAGAACAGATGAGGGACAAACCCAGCATGACCCTACCTGGCCTCCATGACGGCAAGGGGAATTTTCCCTGTGTGTTCAAACACCTGGAGGGCCTTCTCCACATCCTGGGATGCCTGGCTGTGGGGCTGACTCCGTGGAGGGAGGAAGGAAAAGAACAGGAGACTTAAGAGAAGGCTTGTCATTTGAGCTAAAAGGCGCGGAGTCGATGCGTGGCACACTGGGAATTCAAAACCACAAAAAGGCATAGTGGCTTTCTCTCTGCCCTCAGCAAGTCAGACCAATGAGCAGCCGGTAAGAACACCAGGCCCCTGTGGGAAGCCACTGCCACCCTCCCGTCTCCTTTCTACCTCTCCTCTCTGCTGCCCCCATAGGACAGTCAAGGGCTCCAACTAAACCAGCGATCCTCAACCTGTGGGTCGCGACCCCTTTGGCGGTCAAACGACCCTTTCACAGGGGTCGCCTAAGACCGTCCTGCATATCAGATATTTACATGACGATTCATAAGAGCAGCAACATTACAGTTATGAAGTAGCAACGAAAATAATTTTATGGTTGGGTCACAACATGAGGAACTGTATTTAAAGGGCCAGAAGGTTGAGAACCACTGAACTGAAGGTTTTTCAGGTGAGAAGGAGCAGAGATTAAGTTTGATACTTTTCTTAAAGGACAGCAGTAAATCATAAACAGAAAAAGGAATTAAGTATTTCATAATATTCACTTTAACAGCATCTGTAACAGTTCTCTGGCAACTCACTTTTAAGTAAAATGGTCTTTAAAAAGATAAGCATACCACATGGACACCTGACATGTGTTTTACATACATGCAGTTAACCTCTTTGTCTGTAATTCCTAGAAAAACATGACACCTCCCTGCAGTTTCACAGACACTTTGTCCACTCAGCCCACGTGGACGGCGACCTCCTAAAAGACAACCTTTCCACACACAGTGACTCTCCTGCTTCTGTTCTCAACAGAGAGACGTGACAGAACAAGCACTTGGGGCAACCATCACGGTCCACCTGCACCAGGCACCCCAGGTCCCAGACAGAAAAGGCTCAAAGGCTCAACTCCATCACAGGAAACAAGAGTGTGCTTGATGAGCAGGGGGGGGGACAGGAGGGACGGGGGGAACACCCCGAGGCAGCAGCACCAAGGTGAGTTACCTCCGTGACGTCCCTGGCTGTAGACAAATCCTCATAGAGCCCCATGTTCTCCACAGAAACCTGCAGAGAAGACAGGAGCGAGAACGCTGAGGACCAGATAGGTGTGGGCAGCTGGAGCTCAAGGGGAGGAGGGAAGAGGGGAGGCCAGGACTTGCCTTCAGGTCGGCCAGCCGCGTCTTGGCCAGCGAGATGTAGTCTGTGAGGAGGGAGCGGTACTTGCTGGGGACCAGGGGCGGGTGGAGAATATGCACCTGCAGCAGACGACACAACAGGACATCAGCTTGCCAGCTGTTCCTGACGTTCGGGACGGCAAAGTCAGAGAATTAGCCAAAGACCACGAGGGCAGAAGCTGGGGGAGACACGGACGGAATGGAATGGAATCCTGGTGAGGGTTTCCATGTGCTCCTGAAGGTGCGCCTTCAGAAGTGGGCGGCCAGAGTCCTGCGGGAGGACCCGGGCTCTCTGCACACCTCTCCTCAGATGGAAGGCACCCCTGCCGCTGCCAGTGTCCAAGCTTCTAATCACCAGGCACCTTTCCACCTCAAAAGCCAGGGGTCAAGCATTCAGACAGACAGGGGAGGCCCTGGAGGCATGAGCAGTGCTCTGGGCTTCACCCTGTGATGGGTACACGGCTTAATCTATTCCTCTACCTATTCTCTCACCTGGATTCTATGAAATGTGAGTTTCTAGGTGCCCAACCCCCCAAAACAAAGGCTGGGTATAGTTATCCAATTAAATAAAAGGCTTACAGAAATAAACACTTTACTCATGAGATTGATACAGACCTGTTATAAAAACTATGGTTTCCCACGCCCAGAGGTAACGACCCCTGGCAGTTTGGGGTATGTCCTTCCAGGTTCTTCTCCTCCAACATAAAAACGTATCGTTCTTGAATATAAAACATGGGTCGTGCAACACTCCAGTTCTCCCCGTCTCAGCTCTCTGAGCTGCTCCAAGGAAGACCTGGGACAGCTCCCTGCATGGCCACCGGCCAGCGGGTGGTTTCTGGCCTTTCACCATCACCAACGCTTTCACTGAGGGCATGCCTACACCCTAGCTGTTGGGTTTGCAGTGTTTAACCAGCACCTGCTCAGGAAGACCATCCTTGGACTGAGGAGGACGTGAGCAAAGGCGCCGGCAGCCGGCTTCTCACCTGCAGGTACCGGGGGGCCTCAAAGGGCACGAGGTCAGACAGGAACTTGAAGAGGAAGACCAGTGCCTTCTTGCTGCCGCAGTGGTGGCCCCTCGAGCTCCCAAAGGAGGCCTGGAAGGAGGTGGGTGTGAGGCACGGACAGCACGTGCCCTACTGTCCACGCAGGGACCTGTCAACGCAGCGCCTCAAAAACAGAAAAGTGCTACTGGAAAGAGAAACCACAGAGCCAGCTGGTTCATACAATCCTGGAGGTCATGGCGAAGCGTTGGCTAACGTAGGCGGAAACATAACCATGGTGTCTTGTGAACTTCAGAGGCACAATTTACTGCCTAACAAGGACTCTCCTCGGCAAGTTGGGGGACATGCCAACTACCTACTGGGAGCACCAGCAGGTCAGCAAAGGTAACACACCTGGAACCAGTCTGCATAAGATGGGAACACGGAGGGGCCCTCCAGCGCAGCCTGACGCACAACCAGGAACACAGTGACCATGCAGTCCAGGTCGAAGCTCTCAAACGCACGGGCCAGCAAGCAGGTTACCCAGTCTAGGCAAGAATAACCATAGAAATAAAATGCGTATGTTCTGCTGGGGAGTAAGTGCTCCCCTACGACTTGCATACCCAATGCCAATGTCAAGGGACTGGAAACTGATAAGAGGAACCCAAACAGCAACTACGGAAGGCTGACGAGCAGCAGGCAGAGCCCGAGAGGGCACAGTGCACAGGATGCAGGGCACCTTCAGGGCATCCTCGCTGAGATGGGCACCATGATCCTCCTATTTTCCAACAATACTGCGCATATTGCACACAGACACACGCACACCCGCACACCCAGAACGCCCCCGGAAGCGCACCAGTCACCAGCCGCTGGGCTCCAGGGAAGCAGATCACCATTGTGGACACACAGGACAGCACGTGCTGCCAGTTCACCTCATGCGTCTCCAGAACCTCTTGTAAGTGGCCCAGCAGCTCCTCAGGACTCAGGAGCACGAAGAGCTGAAACAAAGTGCCTGGGCTGTCAGAGCAGAACACCGAGGGCAGGAGCCGGACCCCACCCCCTTCCTGTAGGCACAACTCAGGGCTGAAAGGGGACACTTCTGTGTCTCTCCTCGCTGCAGTGGTCAGTACTGGCTGCAACTCCAGAGCTCTGAGGGAGATCTCTATGGCCCTCGTCCTGCCCCGTGACTCACCCTGCGGTACAGGCCAGTGAGCAGAGGGTGGGTCCTGGCGAAGCTCCAGTCCCTTTGCATTTGAACGGCATCAGAGACTTCACCAGGAGGAAGAACAGACAAAAACATCACGTCAGCAATCATCAGAAAGCTGGGTTTTAAAGCCGCAATGTCAAAAAACTACCTTGTTTTAATTTGCATTTTTTCAATTAGTGAAGATCACCATTTCCCTGCTTGTTAACCATTTCTAGGTTATAAAATGTCTCTCTTTGGCCCAGATACCTGCTGGTGATCCTGTATCATATTTGTTGTTTCCTAATCCATCATTTGCACTTGAGTCTGGATGCTTTTAAACTAACTGTCAACACACGATCAATGAGGATGCTGTGGAAATGAGAAGGGCTGACATAGGTCCTCGGGGGCAGGACAGCAGCCTGTCAGGAGCGACCGTATCCCACCTGCGGACCCTCCTGGGGATGCACCAAAGCACAGAGCTGGCTCAGCGGGCAGGGTGTGCATTCAGCCACATCACTAAGAGTGAACGCTTGTCACGCCGAAACCGGTTTGGCTCAGTGGATAGAGCGTCGGCCTGCGGACTGAGGGGTTGCAGGTTCGATTCCGGTCAAGGGCATGTTCCTGGGTTGCGGGCACATCCCCAGTAGGAGATGTGCAGGAGGCAGCTGATCGATGTTTCTCTCTCATCGATGTTTCTAGCTCTCTGTCTCTCTCCCTTCCTCTCTGTAAAAAATCAATAAAAAAAAAAAATATATATATATATATATATATATATATATAAAAAAAAGAGTGAACGCTTGTCACTGGTAGTGACAGCAGCCAAAGGACACTCATTAGGAAAAGATGACATGAATATTAAACACTTAAGAAAACCATGGAACTACATAGAAAAATACTTAAGTTAATGACATATGGAAAAAAAAAACCTTGAAATTTAAAAGTATGACTGCATCTTCAAAAATCTATTTAGAAAAAAACGAGATTCTGTGTTAAAGCTACCTCTACTTTGGTGACGAGAAGGATGAGTTTTTCTTTCCATGCTTCTTTAATTGTAAATTTTCTTAAAGAGAATGTTATTTTCAAATGAAAGGATGGTTAATGATAACACGTCCTTCATGATCTCAAGGGTCTGAAGCATTAACAGGGGCCCAGGCTCCTGTCCAGGGAGGCAACGGTCCCCAAACAGACGGGTCTGTAGCCCACCTTTCAGCACCGGCCGGTGAGTGAGTATCTGAGTCAGCGTGTGCCTGGAGAACCTCTTTGGAGAGTCCGTGGAAACCATACGGCGGAATGTGTGTCCGCTGAGCCCACTGAGCCTGCAAACGGAGCAGAAAGAGGGTCTCAAGGAGAGCGATGCCCACGCTTTCCAGCAGTGACAACCTCCCACAACAACATGCCTCTCGTCAAAGATCTCCTCCACCCTCTCCAGAAGAGAAGAGGAGGCAGGAGAAGCACCTGGTGCAGAGCCCCAGCCCCTACTTCATGGATGCAACATGCCCAGCAGGCTATGCAATCGCCACCCTCTTCAGCCAGGCACAAACGGTGGTTTTGTGTGTTGGTGGCTCCACTGTCCTCTTTCAGCCAACAGGAGGAACAGCAAGGCTTACAGAAGGATGCTCCTTCAGAAGGAAGCAGCACTAAAAGCACCCCAAATCAAGATGAGTGGGAAACCATCCCAGTAAACACATCTTGAATAAAAAAAATAAAAAGACACCATACCGTCAAGCAAAACAGACCTGGACGCTGAGACCTCCACTCCCAGCTCAGGGGCTCACAGGCTTGCCCTGTGACCTTGAAATTCTCTCTGCCAGGCCACCATGCCACTGGCTTAAAATGGAACCCAGGGAAGTATAGTTTCCACAAGAGGGAAGTATACTTTCAAGGAGAGAGAAAACCACAAGCAGGCAACAAAGACCCCTGCCAAGCCAAGGAGAGGGAGGAGGTCAGACAGAAATCAGCAAGGGCTGGGCCTACAGAACCGGGGGGTGGAGGATGGGGAGTGTGTGATGAAGGCCCAGAAATCAGGGGCCTGGGCCCGATGGGGGACTAGGGCCCAGCAAACTGCCAGGGTTACAAAGCCTCGGTATCCCTGTCTGAGGTGGGAATCAGACAGCGGGGTTGTGCCAAGCCTTGCGCAGAGACTGGCACATGTAGGTGGCTCAAACTCAGCAACTGTCCCTAAAACCAACAGTGACCTGTGGAAGGGGGAGGGAAAGAAACAGCCATCCCTCAGAGGGAGCAAGACACCACTGACAGGGCAGGAGGGATGAAGGGTGACCAGGGTTGAAGTGGGGCGTGCGCCAAGGTCAGCCCCACTGATTCCTCATGAGAGAAAACCAAGTGTTCCAGCAGTTACGTGTCCCAGCAGTTCAGCAGTTACATGTGCTGCCCAGGGTCATGAATACGACCCTGGGCAGAGGGAGGACACGGGGCCCACGAGCTCTGCTCCTTCCTGAGGAACGGGGTCCCAGTGTGCCACCCAGACTGTTAGGGAATATCTGATATCTGATTTTACTGTAAGTATTGGCAACTAATTTAAAAATTTAAAAAGAAGCAAACACACTGACGATCATTATTTGATTCCTGGGACATGAGTTTGAGCAATCTAGGCATACTACAAAATTGCATAAAATTTAGAGAACAAAACAGTGTTTTCACTGTTTAAATAAAGCACTGAATTATACAGCACAGTTGAGGACCATGGAATATTTGTGGAGCACCAGAGCAGAAGCATTAGCGTAGCGATGCTGAGAAATTCTCTGGGTTTCCCAGGAGAGAGCCAACTTCCAAGGTCAGCCTCGCCCATGTGACTCTGAAGTGAATGCAGACACCCCATGTCCAAGCCAGCATGTCTACGTGCAGCTCCCGCCACAGAGAGAGAAAGCCAGCACGACAAAGCCAGGCTTACTGTAGGCTCGGCGGGAGCTGGAGCCAGCTGTGTGCTCCAGAAAGCCCTGCGGGGGGCCAAGAGGGCCACACGAGGGAAAGAGCACGACAGTGAGCCAGTCACTCTGGTGGGAAGAGGGGTGCACCACAACCAGCAGGAGTCTGGGCCTGGAGGAATGAGGGGCCCAGAGAGGGGGTGCCTAGCCTCCTGCCTCATCTCAGAGAAAGCAGGCGCACCAGGGGGTTTCCAGTGCTTCCCAGCTGTCATCTCTCCTGACACTGACACGATGGCAGGGGTGAGCTCAGGAGTCACCTGTTGGTATTTAGTGTCTAAAATACCTGGGGCCTCTAACCTAGTGAGCACCGCCCCCAGGACCCCCAGGAACGTACCAGCACCTCACGGCCTTGTGTGCTGAGGACTCCTCCTGCACGCCAGCAGCCAAGGTTTCAAGTGCAACTGATGCCAGAACATGGGAGCAGAAAACAGCACATCATCACAGTCCATTAAAAACAACCCCTGACTAAGTGTTTCTAGACAAGGCAGGCATTTCATCCTTGGTAAGAGCCCCTCACTGCCAAGTTACAGACCTCCCAGGCCACCTAAACCCCCAGAGGGCACAAGGCCTTTAGGGTTCCAAATGCCTCAGTGAAGCCTTTAAAACCAATCAGAATATGTACAGTAGACAACGAAACGTCCCCAAATTCACCCTTAAACATAATCATTCAACAGCTCTGGAGGAGCTGAGCCAGGAGAAAAAGTGAAGGCTAAGTTTATACCAAAGTACAACCAAAAAAGGGATTTTCTGGTACAAGGACTCCACAGGGAGATATATACAAACAGGTAAAATACTTGAAACCGAAAGGCAGAAACTGAGAAAATTCCTGGTAAACAAACTGAGCCCTTTACAGTCTGGGGCACAGAGCAGTGCACTCACAGAGCAGCATTCTCTGCAACACGGCCACAGCAATCTGTGAACACAAAAGGAGTTACCGTGACTCAGTCACATCCGTGAACCACACAAGAAAGGTAGTTGTTACTCTGGAGTCAAATACAAAACTGACTTTTCTTTTTTTAAAAAAATATATTTTATTGATTTTTTACAGAGAGGAAGGGAGAGAGATAGAGTTAGAAACATCGATGAGAGAGAAACATCCATCAGCTGCCTCCTGCACATCTCCTACTGGGGATATGCCCGCAACCCAGGTACATGCCCTTGACCGGAATCGAACCTGGGACCTTTCAGTCCGCAGGCCGACGCTCTATCCACTGAGCCAAACCGGTTTCGGCACAAAACTGACTTTTCAAAGAGGAACAAACCGAGGAGACTAGAAGAGTGAAAGGCAGACTTTGTGGAAGTATCTGTTGTGATGCCCCAGAATGCCCAGGCCCTGGTCACATCCCGCTGAGCCCGGCCCCGATTCCCATGTCTGTACCACCCAGGTGCTGTCCGTGCAGAGTCCTGCTGACACTGTCTGGACTGGAGCCGGGAGAGTGGCCCCTCCCCTCCTCTGAAAGCACAGGCTGCATTCTGGGCCATGAAGACCTTTGCCCCCGAGCACTTTGGGAACCAGAAGACACGGGGAAATGACAACCTGTTCCCACTTCCCACACCTACTGGATGAGGGAGGGACAGTATGGGGGCAACTCATGAGCACAGCAAGGTCAGCCACTGGTCCAGGGATGTCCAAGGAAGGACCCCATGGTGGGTGGAGGTGTAGGGGGGCTTATTCAACAATCCTATAATGCTTCACCTTTGTTTTTCCTCCTACCTGGGGCATCTGTTCAGCCTCCACATTTCTTCTCGGACCCGAGATTTTCTGAAATCCCCTCAAAACAAACATTTGCACAAAATCTGAAAACCACAAAAGCAAAGTATTTACATACACTGCAGTCCCCGAGCAGCCAGGAGGCCAGGAGTCACGCAAGATCACCCTCCTCAGGGGCTAGGAGGGCAGACCCTCAGGTAGCTGTGAGGACACCCTTGCTCCTGGCCCTGGGAGCCCTGCAGGTCACTACCCACCAGACGCCACACACAGTATTCACCAGACCCAAGTTCCCACTTGGCCTTTCCTGCGCATTTTAAAATAAATTATAATTAAGCCCACAATAAGTTAGTGGCCCCATCCCTAACCACCTTGTAATCGGTGCTCCTACCCTGTTGTTTCCTACAACACGTTCTCTGCGGGGGTGAAACCGAGCCTCAATTAGCATAGCCCTCCTCCAACTGGGATGCTGAGGGAGATTCCCTGCCAACCCCTCGTGAGGGCTTGTCCCTCCTCATTCAGCAGGTCATAATCCACAAATATTTAACTTAACACACTAGCTATAGGCCCCATAACATCATGGGTCAACAGGCTGACTTACCAAAATTGCCACACAATTCAAGTTAAATGCAACAGGTATGGCCCAAGATGACTTGATGCTAGATTTCCACACCGTGGGTGTAAGGGCCTTTTCTGCATCCCACAGATCTTCATAGCAGAAAACTGACCTAAATGAATTCCCCCACCCCAAGAACCTGCCTGGGATGAACTTACCAGAGAGCATAGCCCTGGTGGTGTCGACGTGCTGACAGGTGTCTTCTGTCTGCTCACACAGGCAGCGCAGGTTCCTGAAGAGCCACGCCACCACCGCCTGCATGTCCGAGTGGCTGGGGACAAGCAGACAGCATACCTGAACCCCTGCTCCACAGCCACCAGGCCATTTTCTTCTCACTCATTTTACTCAGCAGCTTAGGCCACTGAGAATAAGCTAGCAACCACCTGAGCCTTCTGTACCAAGAAGTTAGGGACACCTGCTACAAACATCAAAAATAATAATCTTCAAGTAGTTACTAATACTTATTTGGAATAGCTTACTATTGTTGGGAAGGGGGGAAGGAAGTTCAGTAATAAGATAATCATACAAATAAAACAGACAGCAGCAATTGCAGGCTGTAGGTTGTCACCAAGGGATCGGCCATGCAGCACAACCTGTGTGAGAATCGTGTGGTCTGCAAAGCCCTGATGGGAGAGCGCTCACCTGCCCCCCCTATCACATGTCATCTCCCTGATAACAATGGTTATGTGCTTGGCCACCTGTATAGCTTCTATGGGGAACTGGCAACTGAAATCCTTTGTCCACTTTTAATTAGAGCAGTCAGGCCTTCCCCACTTCAAGATTACAAAAACAGCCTTCCAGGATTCCCTCCAGTCCTTTTATAATTTCTTTTTTTTCCTTCTTTGATTCATCAACAATGTTTTTGGTATAAAGTTCCAACTTAAATCACTGTTTCGCTCTCTGTCTCTCCCCGCTCCATTCGACTCTCTGTAAAAATCAATGGAAAAATATCCTTAGGTGAGAATTAACAACAAAAAGATCCAACTTAAAAATCCAGATGTGGCCCTAGCTGGTTAGGCTTAGTGGATAGAACATCAGCCTGAAGACAAAAGGGTCCCGGGTTTGATTATGGTCAAGGGCACATGCCCAGGTTGTGGGCTCAATCCCCAGTAGGGGGCGTGCAGGAGGCAGCCAATCTATGATTCTCTCATCATTGATGTTTCTCTCTCCACTCTCCCTTCCTCTCTGAAATCAATAAAAATATATTTTAAAAAAATACAGATGTGGCCCACATGTACCACCACCAGTGTTTTAATATGGCATTTTCACCTCTGCTTGGCAATCCCCCAAACAAGATGTCGTTTTCCTTGAGCAGAGGACAAACATGCCGACCCCCAGCCTCCTGCTCGGCTAGGGGAGGAGCAACTGCCTGGCTGCCTAGAGCAGGAAGCTGCCACCTGAGCTTCCCAGTGCTTCTGGCACCTGCTTTCAATCACAGTCTCTCTTTCTCTCCCCTAGATCCAGAGGCACTGGGGCCACCAATCCTGAGTCTTCTAGGGAGAAAGAAGACACGGGACTGGTCCCCACTTCTTTCCACACTGCTGGTTTGCACAAGCCCATCTCAAGTGTACTCAGTCGTCTCCCACTGGTCCATCTGCCTCCTGCTTCCAAACTCTGTTCTGCTACTAGTATGCCCTCTCCCACACCCTCCCATCTCCATGGGTTGCACCTTTTTACAAAATCCCCTTTCTGAGGGTTGGTGGGATTTCAGGAGGAAATAAAAGCACTTGCACGCATATATATTAACCATGTTTACCTGAACATCTTTTTAGTTTTTAAAATATTTTATCACATAATACATCTTCTGCAAAGAAAACTTTACCAAGCCTGTGCACGATAAGACTTCAATTAAAATAAAAAGTTCTCTTTAAATAATAAGTTACAGTTGACCCCTGAACAAAACAGGGGTCAAAAATCTGAATATAACTTGATCCCCCAAGTTTAATATAGTCATCACTCCTCAGTATGTGCAGGGGACTGGTTCCAGGACCCCCATCAACACCAAAATCTGCAGATGCTCAAGTCCAGTCTGTAAAATGGCAGAACAACACATACAGCTGACCCTTTGCATCAGCAGACTCCCAACTACAGACCAAAATTACTGGTTTTAAACCTCTCAGTTGGTTGAATCTGAAGATGCAAAACCCATGAACACAGAGGGCCAACTGCTTGTACGGGGGAAAAATCGTGTGTCAGTAGGCCTGCGCAGTTCAAACCCATGTTGTTCAAAGGTCAGCTGTAATAGTTTCTCCAGGCAATTTTTGGCTCTGATACATGAGACATACAAGACTAGGTTACAATGTCAATCACGTAGTCTTAAGGTAACATTATATTATCACTACCTTTCCAGTAGCTCCTGGAGGCTCACAATGTTTTGTATTTGAAGCTGCCACACAGCTTCCAACAACAAAGAATCCTGAAAAAAATAACAGCATTGTGAGTCCTTCAGGATGCATTTTCATACAGAGTGTTCAGTCTGTGTTCTTAACCACCACGCTCTATTTAAAATCCAAGTGGAATAACAGCATAGCCTAAACTGTTTTATCCACTAGTTTTAACACTCACCAAGCCTCAGACACGCCCACTACCATCTTTCCCCTCCTCCTGCCCGTCCTCACCACTCGTCCTGCAGGCTCAGATAGGACCCTGCCCTGTGTCTAGCTTGACCCACTTCTAGACCTTTCTCCACTGTGGCCTACCCAAGATTCCAAAATATAAAGGAACATGCCAATATCTTTTTAGAATCCTTCGTGGCTCCTCACAGCCTTGAGGATAAAGTTCACTCTTGGACATAGCACAGCCCTTTGTGATCTG